CCTACTAACTAAAGTGGGGGGGTGGTGTAGGGAACAGACGACACACACAGAACAGGGTGGTTTTCCATCACCTGTGTTTATTACAGTCAGAATGGGTGGTGGTTGAAATCTCCATCACCATCATCACCACCACCATCACCATCATCACCATCATCATCAGCTGCTGCTGCTGTTGTATACCGGGCTTACTGTGCCTGTGTACACGTGGCTCTGTGTGTCTCTGTGTGTGTGGCTCTGTGTGTGTCTCTGTGTGTGTGTCTGTATGTATCTCTGTCTCTGTGTGTGTCTCTGTGTGCGTCTGTGTGTGTGTCTGTGTGTATCTGTGTGTGTCTCTGTGTCTGTGTGTATCTGTGTGTGTCTCTGTGTGTGTGTGCCTGTGTACACGTGGCTCTGTGTGTCTCTGTGTGTCTCTGTGTGTGTGTCTGTGTGTGTGTCTGTGTGTGTCTCTGTGTCTGTGTGTATCTGTGTGTGTCTCTGTGTGTGTCTCTGTGTGTGGCTCTGTGTGTGTGTCTGTGTGTGTCTCTGTGTGTGTGTCTCTGTGTATCTCTGTCTCTGTGTGTGTGTCTGTGTGTGTCTCTGTGTGTGTCTCTGTGTGTGTCTGTGTGTGTCTCTGTCTGTGTGTCTGTGTGTATCTCTGTCTGTGTGTGTCTCTGTGTGTGTCTCTGTGTGTGTCTCTGTGTGTGTGTATCTCTGTGTCTCTGTGTGTGTGTCTGTGTGTGTCTCTGTGTGTGTGTCTCGCGAACTAGTTTGGTCAAAGACAAAAACAATAAAACACGGCTTCCTCCTCTTCTTGGAAAGGCTGTTGGACCCATGCCATTGAGTCATTGGTTGTCTCTGTGTGTGTGAGAGTCTGTGTGTGTGTGTGAGTCTGTGGGGTGGAGGGGATGGTGGTCTGTGTGTGTGTGTGAGTCTGGACGGGTGCGAGGGGCTGGTAACCCCTCCACCTTCAATTAACTACCACTAAACTACGACCGAAAATGTTAACTAATAAGCTTGTGCCGGAGGCCCCGGGGGGCCAGGTGTCTATGACGTCTCCTGGCCAAACCCCAATTGGCGGAGCCAGGAGATTGAATATCTACCCTAGGGGCTCCTCCAGAAACAACGAAAAGCCACTACGGGTGGCCACGTGGAATGTTCGAACGCTCACTGCGGAGGAGAGGCTGCCACTCCTCTGTCAGGAGCTGGACCGGTACCGCCTGGATCTCTGTGGTATTCAGGAGGTCCGGTGGACCGGCTCTGGCTCCTGCCACCATGAGGGGTGGGCAGTCCTCTACTCGGGGCAGCAGACTACCAAACAAGAGGGTGTGGCTCTTCTTCTGAATAAAAGAATGAAGGGGGCGTGGGAGCATGGCGGTGAGGTGTGGGAAGCTGTAAGCCCCAGGCTACTTTGGGCTCATCCTCCCATCAACCGGAGGTGAGGAGTGGTGGTCGTGGTTACTTATGCCCCCACCGAAAACGAACATCCGTGGAGGGATGCAGGCAAGGCCGATGAGTCAGATGCCTTCTATGACCTGTCACAGGTGCTGGCTAAAGTGGCCCCTCGGGATAGAGTCATCTTGTTGGGTGACTTCAATGCCAGAGTTGGTCATGATGCTGGCACCTGGTCTGGAGTGATTGGAGGGCATGGGCCAGATCAGCTCAATAACAACGGTAGGAGGCTGCTAGATTTTTGTGCAGCCCATGGGCTTGTAATTACCAACACGCTGTTCCGGCATCGGCGCATCCACACAACATCATGGATGCATGCCGGGTCCAAGCAAGAACATCTGCTGGACTACATAGTGACGAACCAGTGGATGCAAGCCCATGTCCTTGACACCAGGACCTACCGTGGAGTTGATCTACCCTCTGACCATCGACTTGTCATCTGTAAGATGCGCCTGCCATTCTTCCATTCCGGTGGTGGGTGTACACCCAGAACCCCATTCCAACCTAAAGTGGCCTGGTCTCAGCTAGCTGATGAAAGTTGCAAGCGAGAATCTCATCATCGCTTGCGGCTGGGGTTGGCATCGTCCCCCACTCCTGATGTCGAGGGTAAATGGGCGAGGTTTAGGACTGTGACTCAGGCAGCTGCAATGGCTGCTTTGGGTATGCGGTCCAGACCTCCCCAGAGACCCTGGCTGACAGAGGAGGTGTTCAATCTGGCTGAGAAAATGCGACAGGCCCACTCTCATCGGTTACAGCATCCCACAGCAGAGAATGAGGAGGCTTACCGCAGCTTTCGCTCGGAGGTTCGGAGAGCCGTGAGGCGCTGCAAGGATGGGTGGTGGTCACGGGTTGCTGAGGAGATAGAGTCTGCCTCTATGGCCTGCGATCACAAATCACTATTTAGTTCCATCAAAAAAGTAACCTGATCGATGCCTGGGTGCGGTCAAGGGATGGCTCCCTATTGGTCAAGCACACTATGTATGCCGATGATTTGGTAATTGCTGCTCATTCAGAGGAGGAGTTGGAGACGCTGCTGCTGAGACTGGAGCGTGCCACCAAGAGATGGGGCCTTACCATCAGCCCCACCAAAACTAAGCACCTGCCTGGGTATTTTGTACCATCGGACACTCCACCCCCACAACTCCCAATCGGTGATGGGGCAGTTGTGGAGAGAGTGGAGAGTTTCCCATACCTGGGCAGTGTGCTTATGACTGGCTCCAGTTTAACAGCAGAGGTCTCACTCCGAATCAGTCGAGCGGCAGTATCTTTTCATCGGTTGCGTAACGCTGTGTGGAAGCTACCTGGTCTGTCGCTCCGCACTAAGCTTCAGGTCTTCTCGGCCACGGTCATTCCCTCCCTTCTCAACGCTTGCGAAACGTGGACCCCCCTAATGGAACATCTTCGCCGGTTAGAAACATTTAGGCTGGCCTGCCTACGATCCATCCTGTGTTTAACCAGACTGGATTGTGTGAGGAGCTCACAAATCCTTGAAAGATCTGGGCAGGGTCCCATCGGTGAGCTCCTCCGGCAGGCAAGGCTGCGATGGCTGGGTCATGTAGCCCGCATGCCCAGCCACCGCATGCCGAAACAGCTTTTGTTCGGCCGGATTGAGGGGGCAAAGCGGGCGCAGCACGGGCTAGAGAAGAGATGGAGTGATGTGGTACAGGAGGACGTGGAGCTGAGTGGACTTGCCGATGACTGGTACCAGCGGTGTCAAGATCGGCCTCTGTGGAGGAGGCTCGTGAAGGATGCTACTGGGCAGTTGGAGGTAGTCGCCCTCCAACAACAACGGAGGGCGGAGGAGCGACCCTCACAACAACAAGCGGAGCGCTGGGTGGCTAAAGCACAGCAGGTTGGCACAGTAGGGGGCACAGGTGGTGCATCAGCCAGTCATCTCAGTCAGTCGACCCGTGGCACCTGGGTCTGCCCCATGACCTCCTGCCAGCGGGCGTTCGACACTTCACGTGGCCTCAGGGTGCACATAGCCTGGCACAAGCGTCGTGGTGACGTCACCGCCACTTAGAGGCGAATGGCGGTTGTTGTTGTTGTGTGTGAGTCTGTGTGAGAGTCTGTGTGTGTGTGAGTCTGTGTGTGTGTCTCTGTGTGTGTGAGTCTGTGTGTGTGTGTGAGTCTCTGTGTGTGTGTGAGTCTGTGTGTGTGAGTCTGTGTGTGTGAGTCTGTGTGTGTGTGAGTCTGTGTGTGTGAGTCTGTGTGTGTGTGAGTCTGTGTGTGTGTGTGTGAGTGTGTGTGTGAGTGTGTGTGTGTGTGAGTCTGTGTGTGTGTGAGTCTGTGTGTGTGTGCGTGAGTCTTCGGGTCTCCGTGGTAGTTCCGTGACATCTGCTTCCGCGGGCCCGATTCCTCGCGGGTTTGGCCGGCAGGCGAGCAGGCGGCCGGTCCTCCGGCGTCACCCCAGGTAGACGAGCTCCGCCACCCCGTCCCTCACGCTGCGCATGCTCTGGTGCCAGGCTAGGTGCACGCGCACGCGGTACCGCGGCCCCGGTGCCGGCGACGAAGACATCGGTGAAAACGCCGGAGCCCTCGTTGAGGACGCCGTCGATATTTTCCCGGTCGCTGCGGCCCCCTTAGACGGCGGCGGTGACGGCGGCGACGAGGTTGCTGCTGCTCCTCCTCCTCCTCCTCGTCTTGACGAGGAGGAGGAGGAGGAGGAGGCGAGGCCCGTCAACGGTGGCGACAGCAGCGGCGGTCCAAGCGACGAGGGGGCGGAGCGATGGGTGGGGTCGTGGGAGGTGCCACGAGAGGGGGAGGAGCCGTGGGAGGAGCCGTGGGAGGAGTTGTGGGAGGAGTTGTGGGAGGGGCCGTGGTCGGGGCCGTGGGAGGAGTTGTGGGAGGAGTCGTGGGAGGAGTCGCGGGAGGGGCCGTGGGCAGGGCCGTGGGAGGAGCCGTGGGCGGGGCCGTGGGAGGAGCCGTGGGCGGGGCCGTGGGCGGGGCCGTGGGCGGGGCCGTGGGCAGGGCCGTGGGAGGAGCCGTGGGCGGGGCCGTGGGAGGAGCCGTGGGCGGGGCCGTGGGCGGGGCCGTGGGCGGGGCCGTGGTCGGAGCCGTGGGCGGGGCCGTGGGCGCGGCACGAGGAGGGGGAGGAGCCGTGGCAGAGGCACGTGGCCGGGCACGCGGAGGATTCGTCGCTCGGCGGTGTCCACGGAGATCTCTCGCCGTCGTCGTCGCCGTCGCCGCCGCCGCCGCCATCGTCGCAGTCGTGGCACGACGAGGAGGAGGAGGAGGAGGAGGAGGAGGAGGCGGAGCAGGAGGAGGAGGAGGCGGAGCAGGAGGAGGACGTTGCCGGCGGCCCCCGGGCGGCCCTGGCCCTGCGCAGGAAGGCGGCCGCCCCGGGGAAGACGACGCGGTCGGCGAGGATGACAGCGCCCCGACGGAGCAGGCCCCTCCGCTCGAGCAGGCCGAGGTCGCGCCCGAAGCAGCGGCGGGCGTGGCTCATCACCACCACGTGGGGCGGGGAGCGCAGGCGGGCGATGAGCTCGCGGGAGTCGCACGTGCTCACCCTCACCTGGTGAGGGGTGGGGGGGGGGGGCGGGGGAGGGGTGGGGGGAGGGGTGGGGGGG